TAAACCCAACACTCAATGATTTGTATAATATGGTATACTCAAGAATCTCAGTTCTATTAATAAAATATATCTGCTTAAAGATTCAATGTTCCCAATATGAAACAATTATTGTGACCAAAACTTCTTTGTAAATATTAACGGAAAGATTTAAGGCAATACTTGCCTTTTATGACAAACCATTTTCCCCTTCTCAATAACATCTAAATTATTATTTCTAATAAGAATAATATCTCTAATTCATCAGGTCACAAAGAAATGATGACTCAAAGTTATTAAATCCAATTAGTAACAATAATAAGAGTTATAATGACATCCACATATGACAATGCCACCCTTATTCCAAGTACACATCTCCTTGATATGCCACCCTTATTCTTTCATCAAAACAGGGCTACTTATCAGAACATATAAAAGTCACCACGTATGAAAGTATCTATTCCCAGTTCCAAGCCAGAACAAACAAAAGTCACCACGTCTGGGGGAACTACCATTTAAAGCAAGTTTTATACCAAAACAGACTTACGTCACCACGCTTGGTAGAAACAGTTTTATAAAATCCAAATCCATACCAAAACAGACTTACGTCACCACGCTTGGTAGGAATGTTTCCCAAATATAGTTTCATACCAAAACAGACTTACGTCACCACGCTTGGTAGGAAGGTTTCTCAAAATATAGTTTCATACCAAAACAGACTTACGTCACCACGCTTGGTAGAAACATTTCCCAAAAATCCCGTTCCAAACCAAAACAGACTTACGTCACCACGCTTGGTAGAAACATATCTTTTTATTTAAAAAGATATAAAATACCCCTTTTTATAAATCCATAATTAAATCCAACAATAAACATTCCTAATTAAATAAATGTCTAAAATATTCAATGCTTAGAAATTATCAAATATAGGCCATCCGGACAAGTTATCCGGATATACAATCTGGCCAACACTTGTCCCTTCTGTCCGATGAACAAATCCGGACAACACTTGGCCGGTTTATGAATCCGGTTAACATCCAATCGATTAAGAAACTAATCCGCTTAACATATGGTCGATTTAAGACTAAACCGTTCAATACGTGATCGAATTTCCCCCTTCTCCGTTCAAAACCCTTATATAGTTCAAATCCTTATGAACACCCTAAATCGCACAACATTTAAGCGATTTATAAATAAATCGGTCACCTCTTATCCGGTTTTAAGAGTAATCCGGACAAGCTTTGTCCGGTTTATACCTAGTCCGATCAACCCTTGTCTGACTAAATCCAAATCGCACAAACCAGTTTTAAGAATAATATGCAGTTCTTTCTATAGTAATAATCAAAGCTTTTAAGAAGTATTTTTAGAAATCACTCACCTTTAAGACAGACTCAGATTTTTTTTTGAAGAAGATGGAAAACTTCTTGAATAAACGGACATCACACTTCACAATTGCACTCCAAAATTCAAAAATGAGACTAACCAAAACTTTGCCTCGTTACCCTCTTTGGTATTTATACTTTCCTATAAAGGAAATCGGATGGTCTAGCCAACACCATCCATACATACATACATGCAATCATATGCACACACATACATGCATATTGATGTATACATATACATATATATATATATATATTATGCATATATATCCCATACATAAAATACACATACTCATATATTTAATCCATGTAAGCATGTATCCATGTGAACAATTAATTCACATAATAAATACCTTGGGTAATAATCAGGACCCGGTTATCACATCCAAATGGTTTGTATAGTTAATACTTTTTTCATGGTTAACAAATGATCTTAACGCGCTCTCTCTATATATATAGACAATCACATGCTTCCTCGACCATCAACTTCATATATTGGTTTACATTTACAATCACAATAGAAGGTAAGTATTATTGAACGACACCTTCACTAATATTTCTCATACTTCCACCGCCAACAACCTCTTCTACTTTTTCTAAAGGCATCATAGGCTACAACAAAATCAGGTGTTTAGGACGTCAAAAAATTTAATTGTTCTAATATACCGCTTTATAAGACTTAATTTATAAGATCAAAAAATAAAAAATGTTATCTAAATGCACTGTAACAAGTTTATAGGACGCTTTTAGGCATTCAATTTAACAAGTTTTTAGGATGTTTTTTTATATAAAGCATTGCATTAGCAATTTTATAGAACATATTTGAAACAGTGTCCTATAAAAGCAAGTGTCTTATAAAAACAAATGTCCTATAAAAAGGTATCCTATAAAATTGATAATACGACATTTTGTATTAAAAAATGTCTATAAAATTGCTAATACGACACTTTGTATTAAAATTGTCCTAAAAACTTGTTAATACGGCTAAAAGCATACTATAAACTTATTACTATGCCTTTAGATATGACACTATCTTTTAGTCCTATAAATTAAGTCTCATAAAGCAGTCTATTAAGGGGCCGTTTACCTAAACACTTACCCGGTAAGCACTTACCAGTAAAATTCAACACTATCCTTACTTACCAGATAAGATTTTATTTTCTAAAACGCATCGTATGCAACAATTTATCCGGTAAGCGCTAATCATGGTAAGATTCCTCGTCCTCACTTACTGGATAAGACTCGATTCTTGCCTTCGCTCTTACCGGGTAAGATTTTTAGTCCTTGCCATATTCATCCGGTAAAGTAAAAGTGACTTGGTAAGCGCTTACCCGGGTAAGTGTTTGGTAGACGGCACCTAAGTCTTTTAGGACGCTTAGAAATTGATAGCGTTCTATAAAACCAATTTGATTGTAGTGATTAGATTGTCATAATCTAAAATTTTGATGGTTCCATATATTTGAAGAATAATACAGGGATGCTGCTTTTAGCAGCTATGATTTAAGTTGAAAATTTATGTTAAAAAAGTTAGTAAAATAACTTGTTTTATGGTCTCTTAGAAATGAAAGAAGCTAAAATGGTGAGGTGCTATAACGTTTTAATTAGGACATGTTACAGTATGATTTAATTTGGCACGATATGATTATATTAGATGATCTTATAAAAAAGATCATACATTTCCATATTGTCCCTTTATTATCATGGTCCTTCTATTCTTGTATTCTTTATGTGGTCTATCATTTAACTTTTGATCTATCCCATTTATTTAGGGTAAATGGTGTGGAGCAAACTTTTGTTAGTGGATCAATAGAAGTAAAACAAGAACATCACCTATTGTTTCTTGGATTTCCTAGAAAAATCAAAATGCATATATTAAGCAATATATATGTATAAAATAATTCTTAGATAACTTCATCTTGAAACCATAAGCATCTTCTGAGCTATTTTCTAAAACCAATATATTATGAAATAATTTAGATTACTACCAAATATCAATTTTTTTTTTTTTTTTGATGATTCTCCACATTAATAAACATGACTCTCGAAGATCGTTACTTATTTTGTTTTATATTTCTTGATTCGATGTTGAATCTCGTAAATCCAATTTTGTTGTCACCCCCGGTTTGGTTATTGCTTAAGGCTTAGATTATATAACGCTCGCTACTCAAAAATGTTTGGACACTTAAAAAAGATACAACTATAATCTTAAGTTTTAAGATAATTGAATAGGGTTAGTTTGACAACAACAATCATTGTATGCAAGTCTCTAAAATTGAACTTAACTTGATCTTACATTATGGTGATATATAATTATAAGACATGTTTATTCAAGACACACTATCATTCAAGAACGTAACAAATATCGATGTGGGGATGAACCACCTGGCTTGATTAGGTTCCTAACCTTTTAAAAGTTAGTATGTTTCGATTGTGGTTTTTATATGATGAGGGCATTATTTAGCCTTTCCATCGTGGGCATGAAAAACCTTAGGACCAACCCCATGTCGTTGTTGCCAAAGAGTATGCTACCATGACCGCCCCTCTTGTTAATATCCCATCGAGTAATATTCATGTCATATATTATGAGTGAGATCTTTCCACCCAATCTCCACTTCATTCACCATATTTAGATTAAAATTCCACCAAGCCGATGTGGCTTGTTAGTTTCAATATTTCAAAAGACACTTTCTCACTACTATTAAATGCATCGAGTGAAGTTGGTCTCTAGATGATCGTTTCATGAATATAAATTTTTCGGGACAATGGTGCCATCAAAACTTGGAATTTCGATTCTGCTTCAACATTGAAATGTCGATGGCTATTCTACTTAGTTTTAATCTCTCTATGATCTCTATCATTCTTCTCTAACACTACAAGAAAAAAGAGTTTTAGAGAAGAAATTTTTAGAGAAGGTTTTACAAGTGTATCTAAAGCTTCATTATAGAGAAGGTTTTAAATGACAAAAATGAGAAATGTAACTAAAGGTTTGACGACATTTAAAGAAGGATTTATATGCTAATTATACGATATAAGAAATGTCGTTAAAAGTTTTAGAGAAGCTTTTTATAAAAAATGTCTCTAAAAAGTTACATCAATTTTTAGGAACACTTTTTTAAGCTTCTCTAAAGATTAATAAAAAATTAAGATTATTAAAATTAAATAAAAATCTTTAGCTACCTTTAAAAATGTATCTAAAAGATTTATATTAAAAAATAAATTAAAATTAAATAAAAAATATATGATTTAAAAGATTAATATTAAAAATAAATTAAAATTAAATAATAAATATAATATTTTTTTCTTGTCTCAGCATAAAGCCCAAAAACATCAATTTTTTAAGCCCAACAATATATATACATAGGTTCTATTTTTATTTGGGCCTAGATATAATGTATCAGTCTTCACTCAATTCGTCCATCTCAATCTCAATCTCAATCTCAAGTCTTCACTCAATTCGTCCTCCCTCGACTCTCGCCTCTCGCCTCACTGACGAACGAACTCACGAACATAAACCAATTCACGATTCACGAATCGAAATCGCAATCGGCCTTGACTCAATCGGCTCTCGCTCTCTGCCTCTCTCGAGTCTCGACAATCGACCGGCTCTCGCTCTCTGCCTCTCTCGAGTCTCGACAATCGACCGGCTCTCGCTCTCTGCCTCTCTCGAGTCTCGACAATCGACCGGCTCTCGGCCTCTCGCTCTCGCATCTTGTGACTTGTGAGGTTAGGGTTATTTACTTCACTTATTTTATTTTTATGTTTCTAATTCTTGTTTGATTGCAAAACCTAAGTATGAAGCTGTGAAATTGGTCCTCTGTGGTTTGTCATTTGTGTTTCTAGTACTGTCACTGATTCACTGTATGCATAATGTTAATGTATCATGTATGCCTAAATCATAAAATTGAATCCCATTTGTGACCATTTGTTAGAAGTATTAAATGGATGCTGCGTAGGATGCAAATGAAAACCAAAGAGAGGTTAGTCCTCCAATTTTCTGAATTTTGGACATTCATCAGTACAACAAAACATGCCTTTTAGGACGTTCAACCATCCTTAGACATTCTAATAGAGTACTTTTTAACGGGACTTTAAAGTTTTAGGACCATAATAAAGTACTTTTAGTAAGTTGTCAAAACAAATTTACGCCACTTAATAACTTCTATTGAYGAAGTTGGGGAAACTAATAGGACACAAGAAATTTTAAAGTTACTCTGTAAAAGAAAGACTAATATAATACTTTTCAAAAATGTCATATAAAAAGACTAATAAGACAATATATTTTATGTATCATACTAGATTATCCAACTCCATTGATAGTACTTGTTAAGTCATTTATGTCATACGTGCATCCTAGCAACTTATTATAACACTATTATATATGATTCAAAAATTGTATGTCTTGTAACTTAAGTCCTTTTAAGTACTTTATTATGTTGTTCAAGAACGGTTAGATGTCTGGGAAACATATTTTTTTCATTGTTGATAAAGCAAATATAAAGAGGGGGAAAAGAGCAACCCCATTTTCCWTTATTCTGGACAAATTCAGATCTTATTATTACTTTTTGATTCCCTCTTCGGGGTGATCGTAAATGATGCTGTACAGTACGTCTGTACCTTCTACTTGATTTTCATGAAGATTTATACTGATATACTTGTTSATATATCTGGTAAGCAATGGKCACCCATTTATGTACATACTGTAACACCCTAAGAAAACAATGAAGAAGAGATAAGTTGAAYCCAAAATACAAAGTGGAAACTAGTGTTTAAAYAGTGCCTCGCGGCTGCTGTTTTCGAACCCCAAACGGGCAGCTATCGGCTGCTGCTTTCTGCTTCAAAAACCGCCTGCTGTCTACGCCCAACAATAGCCCGAACTGCTGCTGGATTCCATCCCGCTACGTGCGCAAACAGCAGCTAGGCTGCTTCCATTTCTGTCCGCTATCTTCGCCAAACAACAACCTGGACTGCTGCTCGATGCCCTACTTGATAAGAGCATAAACAGCAGCTAGACTGCGTCTTTTTCTCGGCCAAAGCAGCGGCTGCGACGTGCTGTTCGAGCCCAACCAGTAGCGTCGCTTCTGCACGTCTAACAGCAGTTCGGCTGCCCTGTTACGGTCTAACCAGTAGATCACTGCTTCTGTTCCTGTTTTCCCCCAACAGCGGCTGTGCTGTTTTCTGCTTCTTCCAACAGCAGCAGCGCTGTTTTCTGTTTCTTCCAACAGCAGCTGTGCTGATTCCTCTTCAATTTTGGCAGCTTGGACCTTTCTCCATTTCACCAAGCAAGTGCAGCTGATCCTCCTTCCCTCTAGGCAGCTACACTCCCAACCAGCAGTCACGGCTGCTTTCTTCATCCCGTAGACAGTTACGGTTGTCCTTTCTTCAGATTCGCAGCAAGGCTGCTGTCTCTTTCTTCAAGATCAAGCAGCAGATTTCCGTTCTTCTTCTGTTCTTCCTTCAAACCGGCAGCTTCGGCTGTTTTGAAATGGATTCAATTGCTGATGCTCATATATATATATATATATATATATATATTTTATCTGAATGGATCTTGTTAATCATGTGCAGACCAAAATACACAAGCTTATACACCCACGTAAGATTGAAATGGAGAAAAAGGGTGAATCTAAAATTCCCTACAAGATTCTACTAGCATTTTCTGGCCTGAAGCAGGCTTTGACAACTAACCTTGGATATAATCGGAGAGTTTCCGAGTGTYGAGAGGCTGCAAAGATCCTTCTAAAGTAAGATTCAGGGATTTATGACGTTCCACTTCGCTGCCAACTATTCAATTTCATGACAAAAACTATTTTGCATGTGTACTTTTTACAGGGCAGCTGGGAAAGAAGTTGAGYCTATTTTATCTAACGGTTAGAATTGTGGCATTTGATTTATTTTCTTTACACTTACATACTAATTTTTGTAAACTTTTGTTACAGTCGAACGACAAGACTATACGACTCACAAGGTTTTTATATATTTCTTTTCCTTAACTTCATGCCACTAAAAGAAATTATCTTATAGTTGTTGCATTAAACCCTGTCTACAAAGTGATCCATTGACTTAATACATGCTAATATGTTATTCTTTCTTTAAACATTTATGTTCTGCAGTCCAAATTAGAAGCAGATCTAGCTAGAAGAGCAGAACACTACTTTTCTGARAACATGCGGGTTRTTAAAGGTTTTACGTTCTCCCATGCTAATCACGATCACACAGCTGCAGATGCACACACTATCTTACTATAACCATCACAATTGGAAGGTTGAAGTTTCTTAAAGTATTATTCTTTAAATCTTTTTATCTTATAGTTCTTAAAGTTTCTTAAAGTTTTTGGACTTGCGTTAKTCTACACTTTGTGATAAGCATTCTAAATTGCAAGTATTTTAGGGGCATTCYGCTCTCTTTAATTTGATAAATTTGAAGAACGAGCTAAATTTGAGAGGCAGGTTAAAGAAAAAGGACAGGCTATTGAACAAGTTGTCTCAAGAGGTCTTCTAAGAGCACTTGTTATTACTCCCACCAGGTATTTTTAACATGTATTCTAGAGTTTATTATACACCATAACTAGATAATAGTTTTTTTTTTGGGGGCTAAAATGCGTTATATTTTGGCTTCCATTTGATTGCGATGATTGGAACTAAGAGAGTGTGCTATTTTTGATTCATTTGCATGCCTGTTATTATCCTAACCTAGAATATAGTTTTTACATGCCTAGTCGAACAACATTGCCATTTTTGTGAAGTGATACAACTTAAATGATATCAGATGTTCAAAGCATATGAAGAGTATTGACTATTATCTTCTACTAAACTTGCAATTATMAAAAATTGGCTTTGTTGCGTCATAGAAGCTAAATCATGATGGTTGTAACTCAAAATCAGAAGCAAAAAAAGTTAAATATGCCTCCAAATACGAGATAATTTACTGTATGCAATATCAACAGTATGTGATGTGATATTTAGGTGTATATATACAACATATAAATGTCAAACAGGTCATAKTTTTTTGTGTGAAAATGAGATATCTCATTAACATTTATGTTATTAATATGTTTTGTTTTATGATTTCTGTTGTATTAATGCTACCTTTCATTATGGATATGGTGATCGTTATGAAAATGAGACCAGGATACAGATTCAAGATTCTTCTTCTCAAGTAGCTATGTAACTTATCCACTCAATCACAAGTGAATACAAGATATCTAGATTTAGCTTATCTACTCATTCCCAAGTTAATGAAAATAAATTGAAATGCACCTAAGTGGGCCTGAAATACCAAAGAAAATACTAAAGTTTGGTGCAGAACCCAAGTGTTTCTGAGTCTAAATTTGTCAGTCTAAATATCAGGAGATCGATAGATTTGAGGAAAAGAAGGAGAGAGCAGGTTAGAGGCATTTCTAGTATAATTATTTGAGGTAGCTTAATAGGGATGAGGGCTTTTGGCTTAATGACTAGATGGTTGAACAAATAAACCACTTAAACCATAAAATAGGTACCCCTTAAGACCTGTTGCTATGTATTTCCCCACCACTGGATCTACATTAAAAGAGTTCTGCATCCAAATTAACAACCATCTTCCAAGTTCAAAAAAGACTTTTGTAATCATTAATCTTTTTACATACTTTCAGTTCTTGGTCAGTTGTTTATATATGGTTTGATGTTGGTTATTGGTGGTGTTTGAGAATGACTTGTGGAGATTGGGACTGTGGAATAGTATGTTTAAGTTTGTTTGATAGGTTTCTTGAAATAGTATATTTTAGTTTGTTTTTTACATGAAGYCTCATTATATTTAAGTTTGTTTTTTACTTGAAATAGGTTTCTTGATTTAGTGATGAATTTGTACCATGGATTCAATTTGTTTGCTCCATTTTTCATGCTCAATGTTTATGATCTGCATTCAGGTAGAACAATGGGGATGATCCAATTCTAACGGTTGGTTTCAAGATTGTGGCATTGAGAGCCATAATTAGATCTAACATCGAGGTATGAGGACGCGGGACCTTCTGCTTTGCTTACGGCAAGGGTACATAATGGTTAAATTTAAATGTGATGTATTTATTAGATGCACTTGCCTCCTTACTTAAACTAGAATCTCATGCCATGATCCAATCTTTCA